GATAAGGAGATCATGTGTGGCTCACAATTAGAGAGATTAGGGCAAGAATTTTTTTTCTTTTATATATGATCCAAGCCAAATTGTTCAAAGTGGGTTGGGTTCGCATACTGGTTCATGCTCAGATCAGATGGGTAAATACTAGTTGGTACGTATTGGTTTGAGTGAAAAGGAGTTGTCTAGTATAAATAAATTATGTCTTAAAGAAAATCATATTTCATCATTGACCTATATTCAATTATTAATCAACTATATTTTGTTAAAATAAGTTCAGACTATTTTGAAATGGGGTGGGTTTGCGTATTGGTTTATGCTTACATTAGACAAGTAAATACCAGTTGGTACATATCGGTCTGAGTGAAAAGGAGTTCTCTAGTATAAATAAATTATGTATTAAAGACTATCATGTTTCATCATTGACCTATATTCGATTATTAATTAACTATATTTTGTTGATATAAGTTCAGATTATTTTGGAAACGTCATGCACATTGTACAGATATCATGTGGATCATGGTAATACAACCAAACCTTATAATTCATCTGTTATTGGTCTCAACCAAGTTGCTTGACTATAACAAATGTTAATGGATGTCAATCTTTATGTAGCTATCTGGTGACACCAAATTTGAAAAGAATAGTAGTTCGGGTCCTATCAGAGACCACATCATACAATGGTTGCTGCGACTGAAATTGGTCGAGGTTCACCTCAGTTTAGATATAAGCTCACAATCAACCCTCAAGCATAGACAAGCTTGGTGAAGCTTGTCTACATCCATTATAATATGCATTTTAGGTTGCAATGTATTGAGATCAATAAGGAAACAGAGGCACCTGAGGTTGCTATGCTTGATTTCCAGCTCTATCATGACAATTTAGTTCCAATACTTGATAAGATTTGTGTAGCAGAAGATTTAGACAATACACTTTTGGATGAGGTTGGGGCCATAGTAGCACACAACATGATCATGCATATGGTTATCATGGCAAGGAAAAGGGTTAGACATCCCAATTGGTTGATTCATTGGATGCATTTGACAAGCTACAAGTTCAATCATTTGATGAAACACCTTCCTAGCAGTTCTCTCTTCGTGATGTCTGCAAACAACGATGTGAAAATATTGCCTGACTCATAATAATGGTTGGT